TGGGGCAGCAGCTGCTGGACTGAGCTTCCTCGGCCTGTCAGGGCCTCAGTTTCTCCACCTGCCCTTTCTCTGTGCCAAGCGCTGTTCTAGACGCTTGCTTCCTATTATCTCGTGTCATCATTCCCATCGTGCAGAGGGGGAAACTGAGGCATGGGAGGGAAAGGGACTGTTTCTGGGTCTCACCTGTCAGTTCACAGAGCTGGACTTACCCCCTGGTGGGATGGCGGCAGATATATACCCACCTCCAGGTTCAGTGCCAACTAAATGAGCTAAATCCATCGTGCAGAGCACTGAACCCAGGGCCAAGCCCCTAGTAAGAGTTTAATAACTGGCACAGCAGGGCCTCATGGAGGACTGATGTGTGGATGGCAGTGGCTTGGACTCCCCAAGCTGTCATGCCACAAAATGCCCCACTCACATAGGTGCTTAATAAGTGCTTGAAGAGTGAAAACTCAGAGCCAGGGAGAGCTGGCTTGGCCTGTGTGACTCAGTTTCCCTCTCTGTGAGAGGGCTATGAATGGTGTCTGTGTCATGGGATCAGGGAGGGAGGCTGTAGGAAAGGATTGCTGTTGTCATTATTATTATTTCCTGCTGGAAGCATTATTTTGGGGCTCTGTGAGATGGTGAATAGGATGTGCTGGGTAGGTGGCAGGGGAGCTTCACTGTGGGTCACCCCCAGGTGGGTATGGAGGGGATTTCAGGACCAAGGAGCAAAGGATTCTGACTTTGCCCTCCTGCCAATCCCCCCAGAACCAGGAGCTTCAGGGAAAGCCTCCATGAGGTGTGAGGTATTAGCCTGAGGCCCGGCTGTGAGGGGCCTGCAGTCTTGGCAAGGCAGAGTGGAACACAGCCCATAACCTCATGGGCTCGGGGCTGGCAGGAAGGACGGATGGGGCCAAAAGGAAGGGGCAGGGAAAGGGGCCTGGACCCCAGGTGGCTGACAGTGACACAAATGCTTTCCACTGCCTGTTGGGGGCACACTGGGGTGAAGTCTGTGGCATGAGGACCTGTTACCCCATTAGCTAGAGTCATGGAGTGGGGGGCAGTTGACAGTGGGGCAGGGTCCTCCAGGGTGTTGATGGTGTTCATCAAGGATGCAAAAGTTGGGTTGGAAAGGAGGAAGTTCTCAGGGATGGGCAGGAAAGCCCCGTCTGACCTTTGGCCTTTGCAGCTACCCAGTGATTCCTGATTCCCGACCCTTCCCAGTGGGTAGTGGGGGGAGGAGGACTGGGGGCCACAAGTGGTGCCCAACCAGCTATTTCTCTAGGTTGGCCAAGTCCACCCGGAGTCCCCTGGAGCTGGATGGGAAGAGGGCATTTTCCATCTTCCTTAAAGGGAGCCATGTGGACGGAGTGAATACATGGTTTCAATTTAGGGCTCCAGAGTTAAGCTCTGGCTGTGCCATCTACCTTCATATGGCCTCAGACAAGTTAGTGCCCTCCTTAAGCCTCAGTTTTATTCTTTTTATTTATTTATTTATTTAGTCATCTTGATTTTTTTTTTGGTATCATTACTCTACAATTACATGAGGAACATTATGTTTACTAGGCTCCCCCAATCACCAAGTTCCCCCCACACTCCCCATGCAGTCATTGTCCATCAGCGTAGTAAGATGCTGTAGAATCACTACTTGTCTTCTCTGTGTTGCACAGCCCTCCTCATGCCCCCCTCCCACATTATACATGCTAATTGTAATGCCCCCTTTCTTCCCCCCCTTATCCCTTCCTTCCCACCCATCCTCCCCAGTCCCTTTTCCCTTTGGTAACTGTTAGTTCATTCTTGGGTCCTGTGAGTCTTTTGGTGTTTTGTTCCTTCAGTTTTAGCTTTGTTCTTATACTCCACAGATGAGTAAAATCATTTGGTACTTGTCTTTCTCCTCCTGGCCTATTTCACTGAGCATAATATCCTCCAGCTCCATCCATGTTGTTGCAAAAAGTAGGATTTGTTTTCTTCTTATGGCTGAATAATATTCCATTGTGTATATGTACCACATCTTCTTTATCCATTCATCTATTGATGGACACTTAGGTTGCTTCCATTTCTTGGTTATTGTAAATAGCGCTGCGATAAACATAGGGGTGCATTTGTCTTTTTCAAACTTGGCTGCTGCATTCTTAGGGTAAATTCTTAGGAGTGGAATTCCTGGGTCAAATGGTATTTCTATTTTGAGTTTTTTGAGGAACCTCCATACTGCTTTCCACAATGGTTGAGCTAGTTTACATTTCCACCAGCAGTGTAGGAGGGTTCCCCTTTCTCCACATCCTCGCCAACATTTGTTGTTGTCTGTCTTTTGAATGGTGGTGATCCTTACTGGTGTGAGGTGATAGCTCATTGTGGTTTTAATTTGCATTTCTCTGATGATTAGTGATGTGGAGCATCTTTTCATGTGTCTGTTGGCCATCTGAATTTCTTCTTTGGAGAAGTGTCTGTTCAGCTCCTCTGCCCATTTTTTAATCGGATTATTTGCTTTTTGTTTGTTGAGGTGCAGCCTCAGTTTTAATCTTTCTAAAGTGGAGGCAACACAGCCAGTTGTGAAACACTTGCCACAGTTCCTGGCACACACTCAGGCTTAATAAATAACTTTTTAAGGTGGGACAGATTGTGTACAGCCCCTGATGCTAGGTTCAGGAGCTCATGTGTAGGGGAGGGCACTGCCTCCAGGTGCTGGTGCCCTGGGTCTGTGGAAGCATCAGGGGAAAGGGGACATGACAGGGTAGATCCTGGATAACAAGAGTTCAGTGGAGACACTCAGGCATGGGGGCAGTGCCCAGGCCAATACCAGGAGGTATGACAGTCTTGGTATGTACTTAAGACCTTGGCTATTCTTCATAATCTAGTCAAGGTGTTGTATACATGTGTATATGAACATGACATCTACTGTCAAAGAAAAAGAAAGGCAAACATAAACTCCCAGAAATTAAAAACCCACCCTGGACCTGATGGTATTGGTGTGCTACACTTTTGAGCAATTGTCACAGTGTATGAATGACAGTTTTAAATATGCATGCTAATATCATTTTTATCAAGTTCAAAACAATACACTGTTTCTTTTTGGCAATTTGATCTCACACCTTTGATTTGTAAGGCTTCCTTTTTGAGTAACTTGTTTTATGTGATTTTTTTAAAAGGAAAAAGTAATGATGAAACTTCCTCTTTTTGCTCAGCATTGTCTTCGAGATTTGTTGATTCCTTTTGCCTGCTGTTTAGATTTTCACCACATACATTCCCATAATAATGATCAATGGGCATTTAGACTGTTTCCAAATTTTTTGTTTCAATGAAACAAAAGAAGATTTAATATCTAATGCCCACAAATGAAATTGCTGGGTCCCAAAAGAATTACATATGACCTGTTGATAGCTGTCACCAAATTATCCTTCAAAGAGGTTGCTTCCATTGACACCTCTGCCAACAGTGTCTAAAATTTCTAAAAACAGACTTTCCAAACATGTTCTGTTTGCATCCCTGGCCAAAAAATTCCAGAGGGTGGCGGCAAGCAACTGGTCCTCAGATTCTCGTGAGGTCAAACGTATCGGCCCCTGGGTGAGCATTTGGTTTTTTCCTGAAGACAATTTGTCATGTTCACAGGAAATTTTGCACATGAACACCTCATCACAAAATCAGGCTTCAATTTTAAACTTTCTTTTTTCTAAATTAAAAACAATCCATTTGGTTTTCTTTGTTTGGGCCAAGAAGGGAGAACTGTCCTGAGGAAGTCAACGCCATGTCACTCCCTGAAAACTGACACTGAAGTGTGTTTTTTTTGTTGTTTGTTTGTTTTAATGAGGTCTGAAAAAATTCTCACAGAATTCAGGAAGACCCTTGAGGAAGTGACATTTCACTTCACTTGGTGAAGAAGAATTTAGTTAAGTTCAGAAAACCCTACACTTTTACATCAATGTGTTTGGTTAAATTCAAATGACGTTAAGTTTTGTGCTTTTGGAGATGTCAGAGGAGGCAAAGTTGAGCCCTTTGGGAAGGAGCAGCCTGTCCTCTCTGGGCCGCTGTGTTCCTGGATGATAAAAGGTGACTCGCTTTCTTACCTGGGACTATAGGGCCCGTGCAATCAGGCTGCTGCTGTCCCAGGTGCCCCCCGTTCTCCCCGAGGTGCTCCCAGTCCTAATTCACTCCCTGTCCTATGGGCTTCCCAGGGGCTCAGAGCCAGCCTCTGCCCTCTGTCCCTCCCCAACCCTGACACTAAATCAGACTGTACCCTTCCTGCTCACATACCTGCCATGGCTCCCCATTTCCCTCTATCCCTGGAGCTGATTTTCAGGGGTCTGACAGGTATGGCCAAGACGGAACCAGCAGAATAAGTGAAGAATGATCGTGTTTTAGGTCCCATTTACAGCCCTTTAAATGAACCAGCTCTTGGACCCCATAGCCGCACAGTGAGGGGCCCTAAGTCAGACAAAGCAAAAGCAGTCTCCTGGTTTCCAGGCCTGGCTGACTCCAGAAAGAGAAGCCATTTCCTGCTCACTTCTGGATGTATGCTGGGGTTAGGGGGTCTCAGACTCACCCTTAGTCTCCCAAGCAGTGAGCCCTTGGTAGGCGGCAACAGGCTCTGCAGGCCGGGGCGGCCCCTGGTGGCCCCAGCAGAGCAAAGTGGCTAGCACCCTTCTATCTCTTCCCTCAGCCTCATCTCCTCTTTCGGAGGCGGTGACTCTCCAGTCCCCTCTCCAGGAGGATCTCTCCTAGGTGAAGGCCCTGACCAAGCACCTCCAAGTCCCAGGTGGTGGGAAGGTAATGAGCAAGACTGGCTGAAGGGGTGCAAAGTTCCAAGGGCCCCCACTCCCCTCCCTACACCAGCCTCTTAGGAATTTTTAAACACATTTTAATTATTTTAAAGCAGTACATGTGCATGATATAAAAAATACAAACTTTACCAAAAAGGTATACAGAGAAATATGAAACTGCCTTCCCAGCCAACCCTCAGACCCCTGGTTCCTACCCCAGAGGCCACACCTGTGACCAGTGTTTCCTTCAGAGATATTTGAATAAAAGTTTCCTGGTCCTGCATTTTTAAAATGTATGCAAATTATCGCTGTCCTGCTTTTTACATTAATGCCTGTCTGAGATGACTGGCTTTGCCCTTTTTAATAGTTGTATAGTATTCCACTGTGTGGATGGATGGAATCATTTAAACAGTCCCCAGCTGGTGGCCAGAAGTTGTTCCCAACTTTTTTGAAATTATCAAGAATGTGATAATGAATGTCCTCATTCTCTCCCCTACCTTTGCCCTTTGTCTCCTTTTTTAAAGTAAACTTGTTACTTTGGAATGATTTTAGTAATACAGAAAAGTTGCAGAGATAGTACAGAAAGTCACTGAATAGCCCTCACCCAGCTTCTTCCATTGTTATCATCTTATTTACCATGGCTTATATGTCAAAACTAAGAAATTAATCATACTATATTAGAGTAACTATACTTGAGACTTATTTGATCTCCCCACTTGTGTTTTTTTGTTCCAGGATTCAACCTAGGATTCTGCATTGCATTTAGTACATCATTTCGTACACATGTAAATATGGTTGTAGAAAAATTCCTAAAAGGTCAAGGATATATGCACTTTTAACTTTGAGAGATTCTAGACATTTGCCCTCCCAAGTGGTTGTACCAACAGGCAGTCCCACAAGTACTGCACCGGATCCCTTGTTTCCCCACATACTGCCAACATGGAGTGTTCACAAACTTTTCTGTTTTTCTCTTTGCCAAACTAATGGGTAGAAAATGGTACTATGTTTTTGCTTCAATTTGCATTTCTTTTTAAGGACTGAGGTTGGATATCGTTTTTGGAGTATGTTTCTATGAACTGACTGTTCACATTCTTTGCCCATTTTTCTACTGAGTTGTTTTCTAAAAAATTAATTGATAAGAGCTCCTCACATAGTAAGGAAACTAGTTTATTCTTGTGCAAAAATAACTATCAGAAATGGATTTCCTTCTCTTCTAAAGGATTTTCTAGCTAGTCATTTATATACAGGACAGTTTCAGTTCATTCCTTTGGGTTTCCTACATATAAAAACATACCACTGGCAGATGGTATTATTAGGCTGAATAGCTTCTGTCAACCTGAAATTAATCATAAAGAAACATATAAAACTCAAACTCAACTCCACAAAATGGCTGGCCTGGGCTTTTAAAAAATGCCGATATCATGAAAAGCAAAGACAGACTGAGGAACGTTCCAGATAAAAGGAGATGAAAGAGACTTGGCAAATACAGTGTGTGAACCAGGATATTCTTTTGTTATAAAAGGCTTTATCAGAACAGTTGGCAAAATCTGACTAAGGTCTATAGATTAGATGATAGTTATGTTATCATTGTCCATTTCCTGATTTTCATAATTGTACCGTGATTATGTGAGAGAATGTCCTTGTTTTAAGGAAATGCATACTTGAGAATTTATTGGTAGACATCATTTCTGCAAGCACAAAGGTTGAGGGGGAAAGAGAAAGACAAACCAAAGGTGGTAAAAATTAACATCTGTGAAATCTGGGTGATGAGTATTCAGGATTATTTTGTACTAATCTTCTAACTTTTCTGTTAAGTCTTAAATTATATCAAATAAAAAGGTGAGAGACAAAAATAATGTGAAATCAAGCTATATGATATTGTCGAGATTTCTATTATTTTTTATGTAAAGTGTTTTCGTATGATTCATTGTACACATTCTTTCTCTTCCAATATTTACTTTAACTGTTACTTCTTTGTGGTGTCTAACTGCATTGGCTAGTACCTCCAGAACAATTTGAAAAACTGGACAGTGGTCATCCTCACATTGGCCCTGATTTTGATGGCCTTTTTAGAATTTTTCTAATTTGATCCATTAGTATGGTCGTCAATTTTATTAACACACTTCCAAATATTCAACCATTCCTACATCTCTGGCATAAGTCCCCTTTCTTGTGGTGTATTTTAAAAATGTTTGGTTTTCTTTGTTAAAATTCCACTTGGGAGTTTCTTACTGTCTTCATGGGAAAACGGGTTTGTACTTTTACAATTGTGCCATCTTTGTCAGGTTTTGGTGTCAAGGCTAGGCCAGCTCTTTAAACATGATTTAATGTTGACAGACAAGATAAACTGAGGCCCAGGGAGGAGAAACCCTTTCAAGTCGCTCCTGAGCCAATGCTGACCCTTAAAGTCCTCATGTCTGTGGGATGAGGGCGACGAGTGAGCCTCAGCATTCCCATCTGCAGAATAAGCACTAGTCAGGGAGAGAGGGTCAAGTTTCCTTTCTGAACAGTTTCTATTTAGAGCGACTCCTGGGTCGAGAGCTGAGCGCTGACGGCTGTCGACTGGGCGTTTCATGCAGCATGAGTATCTCTATACGTGTCCCAAAAGGGTCCCCAGTGTCTGTCCTCCTGGCTTCGCGCGCCCGTCCTTCTGGGCTGACTCACTCTCATGAGCGCCGCGCCGGCCGCCGGCAGCCCCGCGAAGGCCCGAGGCGAGAGCGCGAAGGGGGACTGGGCCGCGGTCGGGACCCGGAGCGGGGCCGGAGGTGCGGCACTCTGCGCTGGGTGTCCAGCTCGCCTTCCAGAGCTTTACTGCCGTGAAGTGGGGAGAGGCCCGTAAACACCGGGCCCCGGGCCCCAGAGACACCCCCACAGCACCCTTCCACCTTTCCTGGGAAGCCCACTCTCCAGTGACCCCCGTCCCACGGGGTCCGCCATCTTTTCTCCCAAGACCCCTCCTCAGGGGCTTCCAACCCCTTCTCCAGAAGCCCCGCCTCCAGATCCGCGGTACCTTTCCTCGGGACTCCCTTTCCTTGCACCCACCCTTCTCTTCGGTTCCCCGCTTCTCCCCGGAGCCCCTATATGTGCCCTACCCCAGGGCCCATCCTTCTAGGGCGCCGGCCTCCCCACCATTACCTCCCCAACGCCACACCCACACGGCCACGGCCTCTCCTCCCCGCATCTTTCCCCTACGCCCTATGTGATGATTGGCCGAAATAACGAAGCCCTGTGCAGCCATTTGCTACGCGCTCTGGTCCCGCCCCTCACTCACATGCGCCCGAGCAGCGCCGCCTCCCGGTCAGCGCAGGCTTTGCCCTTGGCCTTGGCCGCGCGTGCGCGCTGCTGCTCCTCGTCCAGCCGCCGCGCAGACTCCGTGGCCACCGCCTGCCAGTACACTAGGTCTTCTGCGAGTGCAGAAGACCTCATCAGGCTGCAGGCCACACTCCAGCCGCTCTCAACGCCGGCATCCGAGTATATGTAATCTGCGTACTATTTGCACACTTTGCTTTTGAATTAAATTTATGTGCTGTCTGCAGGCTCTTTACGTGTTTTTGTGTAGGTTTTCATTGGGGAGTCATGTACATGGCGATTGCATATTTTATTGCATTTGCGTTGTTTTTGTGACATTTGCGTGGTCTCTGCATGTTATGTGCATTTCTTTCATAAATTTTAGCGCTCGTTTGCATATTTTGCACCTGTGTTTCATCTGCGTAGCTAGGAACCTTCTAGGTTCCTCTCACCTCTAGCCCTGCCCACCCCCTTGTGCCCCAACACACCTGTCAGCGCCCCGTTCTCAGCCCCCATCTGGGTCCCCTGTGCCTTGACCTCGTCCATCTCGGCCCTCAGTGCCATTAGCTGGGTCTGAAGCCGGCTCTGCGGAGTGGAGGGAAAGTGACAGGGAGGTGGGGAGTGGAGGAGTGAGAGGATGAGGAGTGAATGGACTCCGCTCATTCTGGGGGAAACTGAGGCCACACCGATGACCGTGTTCCCTGAGCTTTATTTGGAATGTCCTCTGGGGTCCTGTAGTTATAAAACACAGAAGTAGTTTACTGACGTCTATACTACCAAGAGGTGACAAACGGCCTGCTTGGAAGGTCTTTGCCCTGATACGCGGCCCCTCCACCCCAACCCACCTACTGTGGAAACAGTTAAGCTTTGCGGTCAGACTCCAGTTCCAATCCCAGCTACATGTAGACTCTCCAACTGGGGTTTCAAACCAACACAAGTCAGTTTGGTGGTTAACAATGATTGAATTTCTGGGGTATGCTTTGTCACCTCTGTGAGAGATCCTGCAAAGCAACTGGCCTGAAAGGGCCAGAGCCCACATTTTAATCCAGGGCAGGTTGCTCTTAACCTCACTGTCCCAGGCCCTTAGGCAGGTAGGTAAGTGGGGGAAATCGACACACTGCCTAGCCTCTGTTGGGCCACCTACATGGAGCTACACAGTAGTTACTCAATAAACCTGAATGGTTGGGACTTTTAAAGATGGTTCTTATGCAAGACCCAGTGCCTGAGAAGGGTTAAGAAAGAATTTGAAGGGGGTGGTCAGAGGAAAAGGGAGGACCTGGCCACCACTTCCCCCAAGAAGCCAACTTTAGCTTCCTAATTACAGGTGACATGAATGTCCCTCTCTGGAAATAGGACTGCTGGGCACTTGGGGGAGGGTTAGCACAGGGACTCCCCAAGTGGGCTCAGGGGTCTGGGGCTTCCCTAGCCATCAACACTTACCCCGCAAATAGCAGAGGGCCGTGGGGCCTACTTGGTCAGAAGGTAGACTCAAGGTTTGAACTGGTATTGTAGGAGTTGGAAAGGACTGTGGTACTATGCGGTACCTCCCTCAGCTGAAGAGTTGGGGAAACGAAGGCATGGGAAGTGGGTACCCTGGGGGGATGTGTCTGCAGGCCTCCCACCCTGCCCACGTACCTGGCGGCCCTCACAGGCCCTTAGAGCCTCCTCCAGCTCCCCACGGATACCCTCAGCCTGGCCCAGCTGCCTGGCCAGGGCTTCTTCGCGTCGGGCAGCCTCCGCCAGCCGTTGCTGCAGCTCCTTGACCTCAGGCGCTGGGTCCCCGGGCTGCGCCGTGGCATTGGTCTCTGCTGGCTCTGGGCAGCGAGACCTCCAGGAGGTCGAGGAGGCCAGATTCCAGGCCAGCAGGGCCCCACCAGCTGCAGCTGTGGCCAGGAACACGGCAGCCCCGCACAAGGCGAGCAGCCGCCACGCACATCCCGGCTCTGGCTCCGGCACCGGCTCCAGCCCCTGTTCGGCCATGCTGCTGTCCACAGCTCTGGCTCCGGATGGCCATGAGCATTTAATTGGCACCTTGGGGTGGCAGGGACACCCACGGTCCACTCCACCCAGTTCGTGGCTTCTACTGGAGTTTATTGGGAGGGGCTAGACCCCAGCCAGGGGCTGGCCCAGGCTAGACCTGGGAGTCCTGGGTTCCAGTCCTGCTCCTCCATTGTTCTCTGAGCCTTGGTTTCCCTTTCTGTGAAGTGGTGAGGGCAATAGCTCTTGTCCCATAGGGCTTAATGGGAATCACATCCGTGCACAATGCCAATCTGCTCGGGGGGTGGGGGGCAGGGGCGCGGGAGGCACTCAGAAGGGTCTAGGAGTATATTGTCCCCATTCTGTTCATGGGGACTAGAGGCTGGAAAAGGAGAGGCTACGTCTGATTGGCTGAGGTCGGCCTGGCTCAGGCTTCCACACTTTCTGTGAACGCAGTAAAGAGCAAGAGGGTAGAGGCAAGGGTGGACCGGCCCCATCTCTCTGTCCGTTCTCCTACGGCGCCGCCAGAGGGAGATCTTACAACGTGAGTCAGATCAGGCTAGTTTGCCTCGTGCCCTGACCTCCCTCCCTTCTCCGACCCAAATCTCCGCCTCCTGCTCCCCATCTGCCCTGCTTCGGCTTCAGCACCTCTTGACCCTCCTCCATTCCATCTTCTCTTTCGCCTCCTCTTCCTCCTCCCTATTTCCCCCCTTTTCTTCTACCCTCCTTGCTAGGCCTTCCCCTTCCGCCCCTCCTCGCCTCTTCCTGCTACTGCAGGGCCCCATCACGGTCTTGGACGCCACCTCCTCGTTTCCCGCCACCCCCTCCTCCTCCCGCCGCCCTCCGCGCCCTCCTGTGCTCATCTGGCAGGCGCGTTCCCACGTTAGGGCCTTTGCATTAGCTGTACCCCCTGCCACGGAGCCCTCCCTTCCCTCTTTGCGCAGCTAACTGTTCCCTACCAGCTGATCCCCGCCCGCGGGTTGAGTCTCCTCCTCCAGAACTCTCCTCCACCCCCACTAACCCAAGCCCCATAGTTTCAGCTCCCGTGGTTCTTCTGTAATTTCTACATGTTTGACTGATTTCCAGCGGTCTTGAGACAGGGACCCTGGATGTAGTCAGAGTAGGGTGAGGGCCTCTGGAAGGAGCAAGGTGGGATATTTGCAGTCAGAGCAATATAACTACATGCAAGGAAACCCCCCTACCAAAACTCTTATGTTAAACATTAAGCTCTAGAATCATTCTTCAGTGACATCAGTTAATGTTCCCCAGATAGAGTAGCACATGTTTTATTATGCTGATCATTTGTAACCATGTGTAAGATTCACTTTAGCATGCTTAAAGGCCGAGGCCTATGTGCTGTCTTTCCTCCTTCGGATCTGACGAGGTGATTCTGCAAAGTGAACAACTAATTTAGCATGCAGACCCAGCTGTAAACGGCACAGTAAAGGGCAGGAATAATTCCATCTTGAAGATTGCATTTTAACACCCAGGAAGTTCAAGAGGCAAGATTCTTTAGCAAGTAGACAATACCTCCGCCCACCTTGGGGGCTGGGCAGGCAGCCTTTTGATATGCTCCCAGACCCAGGCGCTGGTGTCCCGGAGAGAAATCAAGGCAGGAATTTCCTTATGTTAAGTTAATTTTTAATATTCAGGGACCACTTAACAAGTCCACACTCCTAAACTCTTTTTCACGTTCTCGAAAAATCCTCAACTGCCTATAAAACCCCTAGACAACCGCACCACCACGGACTCTCTTGTCCCCTCCTGGCGTGAGCTGGGAGCTCTGTCCTTTTGCTTTATCTCTAAATAAAAGCCTGTACCTTGCTCTCCTACCTTGACTGTTTGTGAAGCTCATTTTTCGGCTCTGCAAACAAGAACGTCGCCACCCCACCCCCCAACCCCGCATTCCATTCCACACAAAGAAACCAAAGACAAGAGAGGCCAAGTCTTAGAGCAGAGACACACAGCAGCGGATGGGCATTGGTGGATTACTGCTGGAGCTAGAACCCCCTTCCCCAAGCCCCACCACACATACACGCACACACACACACACACACACACACACACACACACACACACGCATGCACACATCTGCGGGAACCCTTAGTTCTAATTTCTTAATCCCTGGCTGGATCACAGCCAGCAAGGGAAGAGGGCACTTTTTAGGAAGAAGTTTATGTCCAAGGCCATTGTTGGTATAGGACAGCACTTAGGGAAGGGAAATTGAGCAGGTCAGATCCATCATATTGAGCAAACCGGCTCCCACTCCAACGTAAAAACAGCTGTGAAATAAAAGCTAACCACCATTCTAAGTGTTAAAGTTGAGTTTGTTGTCTTTTGTTGTTGTTGTTGTTCTCGTTGTAACAAAGAATTGAAAGGCAGACACAATAGTGAAGCAGAGTGAAAGTTTCATTTGAATACGCTCCAGGGGAGGAGCAGGCCAGAGTCGTGGTAGACAGAGGCCTCCGTCCACCCACACAGCCATCCCTCTCGGGGCGCCTGGCCTTTTCCATGATGAGGTGTGTTCTGGGCAGTTCATAGTTCTGTTGGATGGAGCCCACACTGGGATCAGCTTGGCCTGGTCTGATGCAAAGACATCACCTCCCTGCAAAGCCTTTGTCGTCTTCACATAGTATCCCCTACCCGGGAAGTTCGGGCAGTTTTTCCTTGAACTTTATCTTCCCCTTCCCCCGGCTGCTCATGTCTATCTTTCTACCTAACATAGGAACCACCAAAAAGGTTTCTAAGACCTAAGTATTGAAGTTTTCATAACTCTGGGAGTCTCAAAATGGCCACTCTTAAAAACTTCCCTTCTAACTCTGCAGTACCATCTGTTAATGAAGTCAAAAGTGAAACAATTGGCATCTGCACTCCTGCTAAAGGATAAGGAAGAACGGTTGCCTCTCTTTGGTGCTGGGATGAGTATCGTCTCATCCCCAGCCCCGACTCCCGACTCCCGCAACTCTTTCTTTATGTCACACATCTTACGTTAATGAAATGTACCCGTTTGAATGCCTGTTTCCTTGAGGACCTAAAATCTTTGTATGACTTGGGTTCTCTGAAGCATTATCTCCTACCCCATCCACAAGAGTTATATTTTTCCATGTCCTAATCCTTAGTAGGTTCAAATAAAACTCTTCTTTGTCAAGGTGAGTTTAGTGACTTTGTCATCAATGCAGCCCAGGCTTTGAGAGTAGGAACAGCACTGTTTAGGGACATGCTGGGGTTTTTGTTTTTTAGCGTGTTAAGTTACATATATATATACAACAGAAATCCTGGTAGGATTTTTTTTAAGGTCAATTTAATATAAATTAAATACCATCATACATAATACACATTATACAAACAATTATAGCTAGATCTTTGGATATTTTTCTTGCATGTGTGTGTGTGTGTGTGTGTGTGTTTATAGGTCTGTGTGTTTGTCATATACATACCATATCCAGGTCCATAGAAAACACATCACAGATATACACATCTTAATATAGAATGTAAGAACAGAGGATCATAGTCATACAAAGACTTAAATGTCAGGAACAAAAGGAAAACAAATAAGTACAGTTGATTCTCTTTATTCATGGTAGTTATGTTCTATAAAGTTGCCAGGAACACTTAACTAGCAAATACTGAACCAATGGTCCTAGGGGAAGTAGAAGATTAGGTAAGTCGAAGCCTTAGGTCAAAATGTTTTCATCAATCAATTGACAGATCAATGTATATCCTTGTTGTAAGTGTATTTATGTTTCTCAAAATTTATTTTGGTATCAATATGCAATCACATGAGCAACATTGTGGTTACTAGATTCCCCCCATCATCAAGTCCCACACACACACCCCATCACTGTCCATCAGAGTAGTAAGATGCTGTAGAGTCGCTACTTGTCTTCTCTATGCTATACTGCTCAGACAGGGTCCATGGGATTAGGCAGCGTAGGGTGAGGGCCTCCGGAGAAAAAGCAGAGCAAGATAATTACAGTCAGAACAGTGTAGCAATGTACAAAGAAGTCCCTATTGAAACTCTGTGATAAGCATTACGCAAAGTCAGAGTCACAGTAATTCTCTAGGGTAAAGATACCAGACTAGGAATATAGACATCTTCAGTGAGATCAGTTAAAACTCAAAAGGCCAGCAACAACTTAGCCTGGAATGTTTGAGTGTTCTGCAGATAAAGAAAAGTGTCTCAGCATAACCCATGACTTCACTGTAAAATTTACCTTAGGCTGCTAAAAGGCCCAGGTTATTTTAACTGTACCTATGTGCTATATTTCCTTCTCTGATCCTAACCAAGTCGTCTGCAACTTAGGAAAAAGACTAATTTAGTAAGCAAGCCCAACTATAAACAGCCCAAGAAGTTAAGAAGTAAGATTCTTAACTTACTTCAGCAAACAGGCAACAACCCAGCCCACCTTGGGGGCAGGGTAGGCAGTCTTAACTGACATGCTCCCAGAAGGAAACTGCTATCTTGAGAAAGAATCAGAGCTGAAAATCTCCTCTGTTACTCATCAAGAATGAGCATTCTGGGACCACTCAACAAGTCTGCACCCCTAACCCTTTACCTTCATTCCTGAAAATCCTCAACCACGCATAAAACCCCTAGACAATGAACCAACCACAGACTCTCTTGCCCCTCCGGGCGTGAGCTGGGAGCTCTGTCATCTCACTATCTCTAAACAAAAGCCTGTACCTTGCTCTCCTACCTTGAGTATTTGTGAAGCTCATTCTTCGGCTTCGTGAACAAGAACCCCAGCATCACTGCCTTCCCCATGCCCCCCCCCCATGTTATATGTGCTAATCATAATGCCCTCTTTCCCTCTTTCTCCCTCCCCAGTCCCTTTCCCTTTGGTAACTGTCAGTCCATTCTTGGGTTCTGTGATTCTGCTGCTGTTTTGTTCCTTCAGTTTTTGCTTTGTTCTTATGCTCCACAGATGAGTGAAATCATTTGGTGCTTGTCTTTCTCTGCCCAGTTTTCTAAGCTTAAGGGGAGGATGGTGAGAGGTGGGGGTAGGAACAAAGTCATGTGAGAAGGGTTTCCTTCCTAGGAATCAAGGGAAGGGGCTGTAAGTGGAGGTTTCAGTTGCCCAAGCAGCTGGGAAAGGAAGCCCTGAGCAAGTCCAGGTACTTCTCTGGACCTCAGTTTTCTCATCTGCTAGATGTGGCTGTTAGTGACTAGTAGGGGGTGGAATGACCCACTCATCATAAAGCAATGCCTTGAGCTTCTGCAGAGCCCTCCGGCAGGCTGGGAGCACAGAAGTGAGGCAGGCATGAGTCTTGCCATCTAGAGCAGAGGTTCTCCGCAGATGTGATTCTGCCCCACAGGGGAAACTTGGTAAAGCCAGAGGGTACTTTTTTGTTGTCAAAACTGGGGGTTGGGTGCTCTGGGCTTCAGGTGGGTGGGGGCCAAAGCCGCTGCTCAACGTCATACTGTGCAGGGCAACCCCACTGCAGAGAAGGATCCAGCCCAGACGTCCACAGGGCTGAGGTTCAGAAAACCTGCCCTAGAACTTCAGAGTCAGGAGCAGGTGCTCTGGCAGCAGGCTGAGTACAGGCCACGAGGCAGGAAGGACCTTGGCACATTTGACCTGCAGAGGAATGGTCAGCGAGCAGGGAGGCTGGTGGTCAAGGGGGACTGAGGAGCGGAGCCTGTGCAGTGATGGTGTTTGGGGTCCCTGGTAGGACAGCTGGAGCCATGGAGATTTTCCTGACCATCTGGGCCGGGGCTATGGGACCTGAGGGCCATGCAGAATTCTGGGCAGACCCAAGGGTCCTGGCACTAGTGCTATGAACAGGAAGTTGCCTGGACAATACATTAGGTAGGATTCCAGGAGAATATGGACAAAGGAAAGTAACAGAGGACAGGGGTTACAGGGTATGGGAGGATCCAAGGAAGTGCGTGAAGGGTCTGTGGGGATGAGAGTCCTCGACTCTGAGGAAGCACAGATTCTCTGGATGAGGGCTCCCAGGGCTGGGTGCTGTAGGATGAATGAGTTTGGGGAGATGGAGGAGGTGGGGTCATTGTGACAGAGGCCGGGCCTGTGTGTGTCTGCAGGTCCGGGTTTGAATCCCAGGCCCTCAGTGTGTTGTAGGAGGGTACTGGGAACCAGGACAAGGTGTCCCTTGTCCATTTGGAACCACAGGCATCAGGAGAAGGTCCTGTGAGAAGATGAGTAGTGAGCTCTGGGAGTGCGTGCAGTGAGGCTGATGAGGGCGTGGAGCCCTTTAAGATGATACCAGCAGAGAAGTGGGCCTGGGAGGCAACGGGGTGGCTGTGCGGTAAATTGCGATATTTCCAGAATCTCGCCTGGCCTTAGGCCATTTTACACATACTGCTGCAGCTTCTTGCAGCCTTCAGACCAAGGGGTGGGGAGAGGCTGTTCTCTCCTCCTCCTCCCCTCTGTTGCAGTAACTGGTCTGGTGCCTGAAGTGAGCAGGTGCCCTGACTGCAAGAGATGGGGAGCACCGAGTGGGCTGTGCTGGCCGGCTCGGGAGAAAGGAGAGAGGGTGCTGAGGGTGCAGCGCCAGAGCGGCAGCCAGAGGGGCCACACGGAGCTGGGCCTCATGGTGAGAAATAAAAGGGTCACTCTCAGTCTAGGCTCTCCTTAGACTGATTTCAGTTCCATGGGTTTATTCGCCCCTGGCGGGGAACACTGCTTCTTTCTTCCCCTTGGTGCTACAGTGGTGCCTGCCCAAAGTGGTCCTTTCCCAGGAACCACCGCACCAACCTGTGTGGTGCCTGGTGGTTCCTGGGAACTTTCTAGAGCAGGGAAAGCTGGGTGTGGACGTCAATGGGTGTCCACCCACACCCACAGAGCAGGTGCCAGACGCCTGAAGGAGACACAACAACACTCCAGAGAGTAAGTTCTTTCCCCCCAAAAGGGGTGTTTATTGTTCAGAGCCCAAAGACTCCAGAAACCGTAACAGCAAGAACATAGCTGGTGTTGGGGGAAGGCAGCCCTGGGCTAGTTCCGCTGCTTCAGCAGCAGCAGGGCTGCCCCGTGATCCCTGTGGAGTTCCGCCATTGCCCTCCCACCCCTGCCCCTAGATGTGCTGCTCTGGCCCTGCAGAACTGGGCAAGTCAAGGAAGCCTGGAACAGGGAAGCAGAGCAGAATCAGGCCGGTCCAGAGTGTGGCCTAAGAGACATTATAAGGGCTCAGGGAGGGTTCGGGAACCCCCACAAAGCCCACCTCTCCAAGTCCCACCTCACTCCAGGGGCCGTTCCCCCACCCGCAAGCTCCCTTCCTCCCCAAGACCTTTCTCCTCTGCGCCCAGCCCTCCACCCCTGAGCAGGCCACCTCCCAGACCCTGACCTGTCCCCATGCCTGACGTGCTCCGTCCCTCCCCTTCCCCACTTTCCTCTACCCCAGAGCCCCCTTTTTACCGGCTGGCTTCTTGGGACCAGGACCTCAGGATAGTAGAGCCCGGAGGCCCAGGAGCAGGAGTCCAGTGAACAGAAAGGGGCTGACTTTTTTCTGGTTGCTGGTGGAGGTGGTCTCCCCGCCGGAGGTCTCACTCAGTCTCCTGGGGTGGAGATGGGGCTGACTCAGGCAGCTGCCCAGCCTGGACCAGCAGCTATGGGCCCGTCACCCCTCAGAACTCTCCTCCCCCTTTCCTCCCCAAGGCACTGGGAAAAGAGTGGGCAGTGGCCACCGTTGGCCATGTGATGCGAAGGACAAGCCTGGGACTCCAACTCGGCCCCCTCCTCCTCACAGCTGTGGGAATTTTCCAGTCAAGAGGGTCCTGGACACTTGTAGGGCGGGTGGGTGAAAAGGGGGTCACACACCTTAGTTGCTCCACCTCTGCCAAAGCGCTCTGCAGCTTCTGTACCAAATTCATGATCTCTCCTAGGGCGGGACAGAGTCAGAGGGTCGGCGCACACGGCTGCACCCTCACCGGGGTCATAACCCCACCCTGTCCGTCCCTGCGGAAAACCCAGCTTACTCCCTTCCCACTCTCCCCAGGATTCTGGCCCCACCCTTCCCTCCCAAGCTCAACCCTAGGATCCTCCCTCCCATCTCCTCTCCAAAACCTGACCCACCCCTTCAGCCCTCCCAGCTCCTCCAGGGAACCCTGGCCTTGTGCTTTTCTTACCCTGAAGCTTCTGCACTTGGTCCTGCTTCTCCCAGCTGTGAACCTTCTCCTCCTCCAGGGACGCATTCAGAGTTTCCTGGGACAGTGGGGAGGGCCAGAAACTGGGGGCGTTGGCTGCTGTTCCTGAGCCCTGGACCGCCTCCCCAGGCCCTGGGGTCAGAGAGACTCAGGTCTAAACCCCTTTCAGATTTCCCTCCAACCCTTTCTGCACCTCAGCCTCCCACCCAAAAGAACAGCTGCAACCACCTTCCCTCCCAGGGCCACAGTTAAGGGTGTGATCCTAGAAAGAGAGGTCCGACGTCCCCCACATGGGAATTTGGAGGCTCCCCATGCCCAAACCCTAGGAGAAATTTTCAGATTCCCTGGGCTATTGCCCAAGAAGATTTAGAGGGCCTCTCGTAACCCAGAACACAGGATTTCCAAGCTCAAATTAAATAGCCAGTGGGAGTTTCAAGGTCCCCTATCTCAGGACCCAAGTGAAAGTTTAAAAGTCTCCCAGGGACACAGTGGAGGTATTGAGTCCCTTTCTTCTTCAGGGCCTGGTGAGGCTCCAATCTCAACCCCTAGGTGGGCCCCCAAGACTGGTGCCAAAGGAAGTTTCAAGCTCCCCAACATCAAGCATGTCCACCTCTCCTTCTGCCCTGAGCCACATGCCCCCACCCCTCACCAAGGTGGACCATAGAGTGTCATGGAGGGTGTCAGAGGAGGGACTTGGAGCCTGGAGATGCCCCTGACTTGGGTGCTCCACAGAGTTTTAAGTTCCAGCCAGCACCAGCACCCCAGAGTGAAGTTAGAGCTCCCCAAACTGGTGGAGAAATTCAGACCCCTGATATGGTGGGCCAGGAACAGTTTCAGGGTATTTCCATCTCCCTGCAGACCCTGTGGGGGACTCCCGAGCACAGGGCCCACTCTAGGAGTTGCAGCATCCTACCACAGTCTGGTTGCAGATGGCAGCCTGGGCCTTGATCCCCCGTAAGTCTTCCTGGGTCTGGTCTAACTGCTGCTGCAGGGGGTGGGTGACACTGAGACACTCCTTCTCTGCTTGGAAGCCATTCTTGCAGGTCTCACTGTTGGCCCTGACAATGTAGATGATCATGGTCACAGTCAGACCCACCACCACCAGGACCAGCAGGACCACTAGCCACCAGGGCACCCTGTGGTTCCTCAGTACTGACTCCTTTGAGCAGTCACCCATGGGCACAGGCATATAGTGGTAAAAAGCAGGTGCCATCCAGATCTGCCCTCAGAATAGAGTTTGGGCAGAAGTTAGAGGGGAGGCTGGAACCTTCTATAGGCTGGAACTGCCCCCTTATTAGCATGAGAGCTGTCCTGACCAATGACAAGTTTCAGAAGAATCCCCTGACCTCCTGTGGAGGAGCCTGAATGGGACAGCTGCAGGCAGAGGAAAACGTAGGCTTTCAGTTTCGACTTCCCAGAAAACAAGTGGGTTGTTTCTGCCAAATTATAACCTCTAGCATTTCTGAGCTTTGTGCTTGCCAGTGAGGACCTGAGGCTGCTTGAGTTACCCTGTCTCAAGTTCCTGCCCTCCTGCGTGTCCCTGAGGGTGACAATTGCAGATGCTGAATGCCTAGTTCATGCCACACTTGGGCTCAAATCTGAAGAGAAAGAGGGTGTTGGTGGTCCAGCCCCAGCTGGGGAAACTGAGGCTGAGAGGTGAGTGGTGGGCTGGAGGTAGGGCCGGGGACTCACCTGGATTTTGAGGTACAGGGGTCTATGTGGTGACCCAGCAGTGGTTCACTTAACATACCCCCCACCCCTCACCAAGGTGGACCATAGGGTATCATGGAGGGTGTCAGAAGAGGGACTTGGAGCCTGTGGAAGCAGGAAAATACTCTGGATGGGCATGTGTGACAGGCTGCACTTAGTTCCTTATCTGGCCCCCAGCCGACAAACAAGGTGGCTCAGGCACCCCCACCTCCCAAGATCGCCTCAGTTCCAGCAAGGAGGAGGCTCCTATTTCCAGAATCTGCCCCTGCCATCCCAAGACACCAGCTAAACCCCCAGCCTTGTCATCTGTGAAGTGGGGCAATAACAGGAGCAGCCTCATCAGGCAGGACCAGTGAAGAGTTGTGGACAATGTGCTATAGCATCCAGTTGGCACTGCACAGACGTATGGGCCAGGCCTGTGGCTCAGGACAGGAGAGGTGGACAACACAGAAACATGGCCATGGAACAAGGAGCACATTTTGAGGAAAGACAGTTGGGCCAACTTGGGACATGCCAAAAGCCCAAACTCTGGTGGGGAGCCTCAGGCTTCCCTCCAGGTGATGCCTGGGGTCTTGTTTGGGGAGTCAAAGAATGAATTTAGCAAACAGTCAAGGGAGGAGAGCCAGGGAGAGGCTTTCACTGAGGGATACAGTGAGGGGACAGAGCTCCTGGCTCAGGCCAGGAGCGGGCGGGAGAGCCCGTGGTGGTGCGTTGTCTAGGGGATTTATAGGTGGTTGAGAGACAAAGGGCTAGGGATGCAGACCATCAAATGGTCTCTAAATGTTTATCTTTGAAGAGACACTAAGTTTCTTATCAGTTTTCCCGATTGTTTTGCACAGTTAACATAAGAAATTTACTGCTTTGATTCTTTCCCCAAATAGCTTCCTGGTTTGGGAGCATACCAATCAAGGCTGCCTGTCCTGATCCCAAGGTGGGCTTGATAAGGAAAATATTCAACACAGCCGTCCAGGTCAGCAAACCACTTTTCTCCTCCAGTTGGCAAAGTCAGCAGAGCACCCCCAGCTCCCTGCTCCCTCCTCCGGGCTCCTCTTTTGCCCTGTGCAGGCCAAAACGCCACATATCAAAATAATATAAATTGCTCCCCTGTGTGTGCTCAGGGTTCAGACCTTGGGAGATTCCTCCCCTCTGGGCCTGCTGGTGTAAAATAAAACCTCAGCGCTCCAAGACCTCCGAGTGCTGCTTGGTTCTTCCATCAGAGATCCAGTCCGGGTTTTCCAGTATTTTCCATAACAGGCTGAGTTCTTGTCTGTCTGTGAAGTAGTAAGTTAAGAATCTTACTTCTCAACTTCCTGGGTGTTAAAATGCAATCTTATCTTTAAGATGGGATGCTTCCTTCCTTTTACTATGTTGTCTGTGACTGGGCTTACTTGCCATATTAATTGCCCACGTTATATATCACTTGATTAGGGGCTCAAGGAGGAAAAGCAGCATCTGGGCAAAGTTAAAGATAAGCCGAGCCTTTTAGCGGGTAAAGTAAATTTTACAGTAGCCTCATTTAATTGACACAATGAAGACATGGGCTATGCTGAGGAATTTTCTTATCTGGGGGATGTTCACACATTCCAGGCCGAGTTACTCCCTGGCTTTTTAGTTTTAACTAATCCTCACTGAAGAACGCTGTGGGTAAAATTGTAACATTTCCATAATATCTCTCCTGGCTTTGGTACATCTGCATATCAACAGGCATTCAGAGGTGGAAAGAAGTGTGGCTTTAGTGCATTTGCATATCATCTGGGTGGAGAGAAGTTCATCTATGGATTTTAAACTTTATTTCTCCCTTTGACTGATTTCAGTTTTTAGAGGTATTTTGCCCCGGGGTTTCCTCTTCCCCGACTAACACCTGGTGCAGTTGGCAGGGAGCCTCTGAACCTGAAATCTGTTATAATGGGTGAGACCTTTAGGAGGGTCGCCCCTAGAAATGATGGGGAGAAGTGGCACTCATGCCAAGAGACATGTGTCTATACGTGTGGTCGTGGAGGCACCACCACCACTGCTGGCTGCGCTGACCCCGGCCTGTGGCCTGAGCCTAAGGCTACTGCTTCTGCCACTGCTGCTGCTCCCGCTGCTGGCTGGAGCCTGGTCACAACTGTGGAAAGGAGCAGAGGTCCAGGTCACCTCGACAGAGAAGCAACTGGCTACCCTGTACCACGCCTTGCTGTTTACAGAGCCCATTGCAGGAACAGCTCCAACCAAGGTAATAACCACCTATTCCACTGTGGGGTGGGTGAGAGACTGGACCCAAAGGCCATGGAGTGGCATGGCACAGACACCTACCGTGTATCATGTGACTGGCCGTTTGCCTTTGGCATCCCCAGGGAATGAGGAAGCAGATGCATTGGCCCAGGTGCTCTGGCCAGAAGGAAAGCCTGCCTCTGATTTGGCCCAATGGCTACATTAGTGTTTCTTGCATGTGGGGCAAAAGACAATGTAGGCCCTTCAGTGGGGCTTGCCATTGACCTTTGAAGAAGTCAGCCGAGCCTGGAAGGATTGCCCCGCATCTTGCGCAGATCAGCAAACTACCAAGAGGGGCTTAGAGCATTTCTCTGCAGCTTATGGCCGGCTGCCGGTGATTGAGAGCGAACAAGGCACTCACTTTATTGTACATGTGTTGCAAGGATGGGTGCAGCAATTAGGAATAAAATGGACGTGGCCCTGTACATTTCAACACATGGACCGGTGATGGCTGGCTCTTCTGGCACCCTGGGGAAAAGGCCTGGCAGCTGGCCTCCTGTGTATGCCTGGAATAACAGGGAAGTGCCCCCCACAATCATGGTTATTTGCTTCTACAGTCCTTGTGTCCTGGATGCGCCCCCTGGCTGCAGCTGCCACGTGATGGCTGGAATGGACGAGCTTTGGACTTAATCTACAAGAAACTTTGACCCTAGCTGAACCCTCTGGCTTGAGAATTATCATGATTGTGTTGCTGCTGTCAAGAAAAAAATGCTTGAAGAGAGGCTTGACTTTGGCTAACGTTTGGTAAAAGTTTGTGAGCAATCTAGCATGGTTGTTAGGAATGAGTAAACAATGTAGAAACATATTTTGTGCTTAGTGAGAGATTGTGCTGTAAAGTACATTTACTTAATCTGTATAGGCTGAATCCTCTGGTTTGAGGATTATCAAGATTTTATTGCTGTTGCTATTGTATGTTATTAGATTGGTTGGAAGAGGGGGAATGAGTAAATTGTAAGGCGAGATTTCAGGAGGGGTGGCCTGTGGGTAAACTTGTAACATTTCCAGAATATCTTGCCTGGCTTTGGTACATCTGCATATCAATAGGCATTCAGAGGTGAAAAAAAGTATGGCTTTAGTGTATTTCCATCATTCCTCAGGGGTGGAGAAGTTCATCTCCATATCAGTGGGTGATTACCTGGGCAGGAGGGCTTGTCTGTACCTGAGAGGGGAGGGGAGGGCTGGTTTTGCTGCTGCTGGAGCAGGAGAGAGAGATGAGCCGGACTGCAGTTTTGTAGGCAATAAATGGATTTTAAACTGTACTTCTCCCTTTAACTGATTTCGGTTTTTAGAGTTTTTTTGCCCTGGGATTTCTTTCCCCAGACATACAAATGCTTATATTTCTAGTTTGATATTTTACTTCAGAGAATTAATGCGACTCTGACTTTGTTTATTTGTTTAACACGGGTATTTTTCCGGAGGTCCTCACCCTACTCTGACTACACCCTTGGTCCCTGTCTCACAGGGTCCAGTTCCCTTTTTGGGGATTCTCTCCGGATGCTCCCAGGCCCTCAAGCCATCCTGACTTCCTCTTCCTCTCCTTGGGCGGCCACGGTAACCGGAGCTTTCTGCTGGAAAGAGGCCCAATTACAGGCTTTTGGCTGCAAGCTGTCAACAGCGGAAGGCAGCTGTGTGCTTTTCCTGTGACTTTTTCAGCCACAACGTGACCACAACCCAGATTCCAACCCAGATTCTGTTAGGTTGGCCATTTCCAGTGTTTGTGTTCAGCTGGGCCAGACTGAAGGCTGGGGAGGGGGGTGGAAGGGGAGGGGCGCTGGCACCGAAGCCAGGCACCCAGGCCGCTCAGAAGGGAGAAGAGGTACTCCCAGGCCCCCTCTGCTTAGAAGCCCCCTATTAAAGCCACTCAGCAGCCAAATGACAAGGGAAGGGGCACAGTCCTGCTGAAAAGGCCAGGGGGAGCTTCTGGGTCCCATAAGGAGGAGCCTCCCTCTCCCACCGGGACACACCTCAAGACAAAGCTGGCTCTGCACTGTGCTGGCCTTCAAACCTGAGCGGGGCGGTGAAGGCCACACAGGCAGGTCAAAGGCTAAGGCTATGTGCGAACAGCCCTGCCTCCCTGGGGGACCCTGGACAAGCAATTTACTCTCAAGCCAGGGTTTCCATAGCTGTAAAACAGGATGATAATAGGACCTTTTTTTTTCTTAAATATTTTGTTCACATTATAGAGGAATTTCTTCTGTTCCCTTTTTTCCCATCATCAGGACAGTGGTTGAGGGGTGCTGAATCCATCGCTACTTCGATGGCACAGTGAAGATTCTGCTAGGCAGGAAAATAGACATGAGTGGGGTGGAAAGAGAAAAAGGCCAGAAAGTCCACTAAGACCCAAAATTAATCAGTCAAAGCTCAAAAAGCCAAGGGCAACTTGGCCTGGAATATTTGAATATTCCCCAAATAAAGGAGGGTACCTCAGCGAAGCCCATATCTTTCTTGTGTCGATCACACAGGCCCTGCTTTTTTTTTTTTTTGCCTTTACCTATATGCTGATTTTCCTCCTTCGGGCTCTAATTAAGTACTCTGTAACCTAGGCAACTAACTTAGCACGCAGGCCCAGCAGTAAACAACACAGTGAAAGGTAGAAAGGATTCCATCTCAAAGACTGTATTTTAATACCCAGGAAGTTAAAAATGGAAGATGCTTAACTTCCTCTTCAGCAAACAGACAATAGCTCAGCCCGCCTTTCAAAGACTGTATTTTAATACCCAGGAAGTTAAAAATGGAAGATGCTTAACTTCCTCTTCAGCAAACAGACAATAGCTCAGCCCGCCTTGGGGGCTGGGCAGGCAGCCTGTTTGATCTGCTCCCAGACCTAGACGCGGTATCCCAGGGAGAAACCAGAGCAGGAACTTCCCTGTGTTACGTTAATTCTAAGTATTCAAAGACCACTTAACAAGTCTGCACCCCCAGCCCTTAGTCACAATAAGAATCCTTAAAAGGGGGTACCCCCAACCTTTTGGGGGCGCTCCTCTCTCTGAGGTCGCCTGCACTTCCCAAGTGCGTAACCTTTTAACTTTAAACTCTCTTTTCAACCTTTCAGGGGGCGCTTCTCTCTCTGAAGTGGCCCACACTTTCTAAATATGGAAACTTTTCATCTTAAACTTTCTCTCTCCAACCTTTCGGAGCACCTCTCCTTGCTGAGGTTGCCTGCTGCACTTCTCTCTTTAAGTAACTTTAAATAAAGCTTTTACTCTGCTTCACTGCTGTGTCTCGGACCTTCAATTATTTGTCGCGGCGGGGACAAGGACGAGGAAATACACACGCTCCCCCAACAATTCCAGATTCACATTTCCAGATACCAAGAGTTCCCTCCAAACGCCACAATAAAGTCAGCTTTCATTTACATTTCTTTCTGCTGAACACAGCAATACCCATTGGTATCTCTGAAGCGTAATTGATGCCGAGGTTCTTGTTTGCGGTGCCAAAGAATGAGCTTCACAAACAGTCAAGGTAGGAGAGCAAAGTACAGGCTTTTATTTAGAGATATAGTGAAAGGACAGAGCTCCCGGCTCACGCCAGGAGGGGACAAGAGAATCCCTAGTGGTGCGTTGTCTAGGGGGTTTTATACGCAGTTGAGGATTTTTCGAGAATGTGAAAAAGAGTTTAGGGGTGTGGACTTGTAAAGTGTTCCCTTAATATTAAAAATTAACTTAACATAAGGAATTTCCTGCCTTTTACCATGCCGTCTACAGCTGGGTCTGCATGCTAAGTTAGTTGCTCAGTTGGCAAAATCACCTCATCAGATCTGAAGGAGGAAAGACAGCACATAGGCCTGGGCCTTTTTGCATGCTAAAGTGAATCTTACACATGGTTACAAATGATTAGCATAATAAAACATGTGCTACTCTTCTTTATCTGGGGAACATTAACTGATGTCACTGAAGAATGATTCTAGAGCTTAATGTTTAACATAGATTTTTAGTAGGGGGGTTTCCTTGCATGTAGTTACATTGCTCTGACTGCAAATATCCTGCTCTGCCCCCTCCGGAGGCCCTCACCCTACTCTGACTACATCCAGGGTTCCTGTCTCATAATCACATCTTAAGTACTTATTTCTCCAGGTAAAGCAGCTGCTTGGAATTGAATGCTCCCCTTCTTTTTTGTCTTATACACTGAACTCCATCCTCATACTTCATTCCACTTTCAATCAAAGCAAGTGCAACCAGCACAGGTGCCCTTCCCAATCCTGCAACGCAATGCACTGCAACACAGCAACCTGGCTCTTCACAAAATCTGGTTTTTAGTAGGTTTAGCCAATCATCTACTATCTGATTACAGGGTGGTGCTCCATCATCAAATGGCCAGTCTAGAATGTGGATTCCTTCTTTTTCAACTGGAACTTTATAATATGTAGCATCACAAACTCGAACCAAAGTTGTTATTCCATACTTCCTACGTTCTTTGTGAACTTGAGAGTAGCATTGATAGGGTTGTGAGTTATCAGAAAACGAATATTCTCATAGGAGATCTCCACAGGGGCTGGACGGTTCACTATGGCAAATAAAAAGTGTGTGCGATGGGGAAAATGGAAAAAAAATCAATAAATCTTGAAATGTTTCACAGCAGAAAACATTTAAAGACCACTAAAATGCCTATTATCAATCAGTGCTTGTTTATTCTTCAAGAAGTTTCTCTCTTCAAGATAAGCAGAAGTATTTAGAATGTGCTTGAATCCAAATTCAATTTGGGCTTCCATGTCTGCAGATGGGATACCTTCGGGCTCCAAAAAAATCCAACCACACACAAAACTTCAGAACTTCAGCAGCCTTTACTACATTTAGGCACTAGTGAAACAACTTAAAAGTGTAGGTAATTTTCCACTTTTGTTTACCTGATGCTGTTGGGGGAGTGGGTGTATTTCCTCGTCCTTGTCCCCGCCACGAGAGTGGGTGTATTTCCTCGTCCTTGTCCCCACAGCGACAAAGTATTGAAGGGCAGAGACACAGGAGTGAAGCAGAGTAAAAGTTTTATTTAAAGTTACTTAAAGAGAAAAGAAGTGCAGCAGGCAACCTCAGCAAGGAGAGGCGCCCTGAAAGGTTGCAGAGAGAAAGTTTAAGATTAAAAGGTTACACACTTAGAAAATGTGGGCCACCTCAGAGAAGCGCCCCCTGCAAGTGAGACAGGGACCGTGGGTATAGTCAGAGTAGGGTGAGGGCCTCCAGAAAAAGACTCCTACCAAAACTCCATATTAAACAATTAAAGACAGAATCACACTAATTCTCTAAAGTAAAGTATCAAGCTAAGAATATAAGCATTCTTCAGTGAAGATTAGTTAAAACTAAAAAGCCAGGAATAACCTGGCCTGGAATGTTTGAACATCCCCCAGAGAAGAAAATACCTCAGCACAGCCCATGTCTTGTTTATGTCAATTAAATGAGGCTATTGTAAAGCTTTAACCTGCTAAAAAGCCCAGTTTATCTTTAACTTTATTCGAATGCTGTTTTTCCTCTTACAGCCCCTAACCAAGTAATATATATAACCTGGGCAGTTAATGTCACAGGCAAGACCAGCCATAAACAACATAGTGAAAGACAGGAAGGATCCCATCTTAAAGATAAGAAACTTAGACTATTTAACAAACAGACAATAACTCAGCTCACCCTGAAAGGAAAACAGCTCACCCTGAGAAGAAAACAAGCAGCCTTGATTAATACGCTCCCAAACAAAAACTGCTATTCTAAGGAAGAACCAAAGCAGTAAATTTCTTTTGTTAACTCCGCAAAATAGTCTGGAAAACTGATAAGAGACTTAGTGTCTCTTTTAAGATAAACACTTAGAGACCATCTGGGAGACACGTGCCTAACTCTTAGTCTCCCAACCGCCTATAAATCCCTAGACAAGGCACCACCGCGGACTCTCTTGTCCCCTCCTGGCGTGAGCCGGGAGCTCTGTCCTTTCACTGTATCTCTAAATAAAAGCCTGTACTTTGCTCTCCTACCTTGACTGTTTGTGAAGCTCATTCTTCCGCTTCGTGAACAAGAATCCCGGCATCACAAGGTTGAAAAGAGAGAGTTTAAAATTAAAAGGTTACGCACTTGGCAAGTGCGGGCGACCTCAGAGAGAAGTGCCCCAAAAGGTTGGGGGTACCCCCTTTTAAGGATTCTTATTGTGACTAAGGGCTGGGGGTGCAGACTTGTTAAGTGGTCTTTGAATACTTAGAATTAACTCAACACAGGGAAGTTCCTGCTCTGGTTTCTCCCTGGGATACCGCGTCTAGGTCTGGGAGCAGATCAAACAGGCTGCCTGCCCAGCCCCAAAGGCGGGCTGAGCTATTGTCTGTTTGCTGAAGAGGAAGTTAAGCATCTTCCATTTTTAACTTCCTGGGNAAAAAAAAAAAAAAAAAAAAAGCAGGGCCTGCGTGATCGACACAAGAAAGATATGGGCTCTGCTGAGGTACCCTCCTTTATTTGGGGAATATTCAAACATTCCAGGCCAAGTTGCTCTTGGCTTTTTGAGCTTTAACTGATTAATTTTGGGTCTAAATTTTTAGTGGACATTCTGGCTTTTCTCTTTCTACTCTGCTCATATGTATTTTCCTGCCCAACAAAAAACATGTCTTCGACTCCGCAAACAAGAACCCCGGCATCACTCCGACTGCAAATATCCTGCCTTGCTTTTTCCAGAGGCCCTCACCCTATTCTGTCTAAGCCCATGGTCCCTGTCTCACTTGCAAAAAAAAAAAAAGCCAACTATTTCTGAGGCCAGTCTGGGTGTCCAGGGTCTTCAAGGCAATGTTAATTATGGCACATAGAACCCCCAAGCTCACTTGTCAGCGAAAACGCTGTGCTGGGCCTGGCAGAAGTCTGCCCTCACGCTCAGAATCGCCATAAATGTGCAATGTATATGCCAACGAAAAACGCTGGCGAGCTGGGGACTGGGCATTGAAGTCCTGCGGCGGCGGGAGCGAGGAGGTGCCTCTCCTCAGTCACCCCGGCGGCGGCGAGTGCACGCGAGTCCGTCGCTGCCACCCCAGCCGCTACCGAACGGACGATGGTTACAGCCCTGCCGATCGCGCCGCCGCCCAACAATAGGGTCTTTTGGTGATTCCCCCCTCTAAATTTTGCAACCCAGTCGAATGTCTGACTCACCTCACTCTAGCCCGGTCCTGCAAACAGAAACTTTATTGGTTTCGCTTGCAAAATCCCAAATGGAAACCATCATTCTTCCGATTTTAGCTTTTTTTTAAAGAATCATTTTATTTATTTTTGAAATATATTTGACACACAGTATTATAGGTATTTCAGAATCATTTTATTTTAGAAAAGTTTTAGGTCTGCAGAAAAGTAATGAAGATAGTTAAAAAATGTACGCCCTACCCACTTTCCCGCATTAACATCTTAGCCAATCTTTAACATGGTACATCTGTTAAAACTAATGAACCAATGCTGAGATACCGCTATAAACTGAAGTCCATACGTTATGCAGATTTCCTGTTTCCCCTAATACCCTTTCTCTGTCCCTGGATTTCACGTGACATTTAGTTGGCAAGTCTCCTTAGGCTCCCCTGGGCTGACACAGTTTCTTGGGCTTCCTTGATTTTGATGGCCTTAGCGGTTTGAGGCGGACCGGCCCAGGGTTTTGTAGGACTCCCCTCAGGCGGGATTCATCCGGTGTTTTTCTCAGGGTTGGACTGGGATGCCAGGTGTGGGGCGACACCACAGAGGTGAAGCGCCCTTTACATCACACTGCGTGCAGGGTATGCGACTTTTCACTGTGATGTTGGCCTTGGTCACCTGGCTGAGGCAGCGGCTGTCAGGTGTCTTCACTGTGAAGTCAATCTTTTCCCCCTTCCCAGGCTGCGCCCACACCTGAAGGGTGGGAAGTCCCGCTTTCCTCCTCCAGGGGGCACTACCTAAGCACATTATTTGGAATTTCTATTCGTGGGACCTTTATCCTTCATTTATGGCTTCAATCCCTTATTTGTATGAGTATGAATGCATGGGTATTTGTTTTGCACTTTACGTTATTTATTTTGTTGCACAAGTTGTTCCAGCCAAAGGTTTGGCTCTTAGTTTTGACAAACTTATTTCCACAAAGACATTCTGGAGCATTCCTTGTAATTAAATAGAAACGAGGTGCTTATATGGGGCTTGGTTAAGAGAAGGCTGCCTTTACACCCAAGGGGCTGGGAGGGGAAAGACACCACTTTAGGAGTAAGGAACACACACATGGGATTTTCTTTTCATGGTTAATGGCAATGGGATAATGTAGGGACATTAAAGAAACAAACTTGTTTAAAAAAAAATTAAGTACATACAATACAATGCACAAATCTTAGTGTACGACTCCTTGAATTTCAAAATGTGCATACACTCGTGTATCCATAACCCAAATCAAGATCCCAAACATTCTCACTGATTTTTCCCCCTTCACCTATTTCACCCATCCCTCTGTTCCCCTCTGGGGCAACCTCTGGTCTGTTCTCTGTGTTTCTGATTCTATTTCTATTTGGTTTGTTTGTCATCTGTTTTGTTGTTTAGATTCCACATATAAGTCAAATCATATAGTATTTGTTTTTCTCTGCCTGATTCATTTCATTTAGTGTAATACCCTGTAGGTCCATCTATGTTGTTACAAATAGCAAGGTTTCTTTTTTATGGCCTAGTAATATTCCACTGTATATATGTACCACCTTTTCTTTACCCACTTATGTATTGATAGCCACTTAGGTTGCTTCCGTATCTTGGCTATTGTAAATAATGCTGAGATTAACATAGGGGTGCATATGTCTTTTTGAGTTAGAGGTTTTGTTTTAGAAACAAACTTCTTGAAGGACAAAAAAGATCATCCATAAACCTGCTGCTCTCACTCAGCTGTTTTATTTCTGTTCATTAAACTACACATACATTTCATTGCCTTGACAGAACACCTTACTTCGGGATGTTGAGGTGTTTGGAGCTGTGCATGGCCCCTTGTGGGCAGAGAGGACATCTCCATGTTCCCAGGACAGGCCTTGGCCCAGGGGTTGTCACAGATGGGGGTGCGATTCTGCCCCAGGGCATGTCTGGAGACAGTTTTGCTGATCACAAGGGTTGGGGGGTGGCAATGCTTCTGCCATCTAGTGGGTGGAGGACAGGGGTGCTGCTCAGCCCCCGACTGAGGAAGACACCCTTACCCCAGCAGAGAATGACCCGGTCTCCCGTCTCAGCCGTGAAGAGATGAAGAGCACTGCCCCGGGGGTGGGGGGTGGGGGGTCGGGGTGACTTAGGAGCAGGTCAGGAGTCAAACTTGACCTCAGATTCCATCCTGGCTCTGGGGCAGCTATGTCACCTCGCTAACACTGCTTTCTTGTAAAATGGGTGTGATATCTACTACCTCCCCTGGTCGCTATGAGGATTAAATAAATTCGTCTATGAGAAGTGCTTAGCTCAAAGCCTGGTGTATTCTCACTATCTGTGTGAGTTCATCTTGTTATCATTTGACAACTTTCGGATTTGGTTGACTTCTTTCCTTAGAATGAATTCCCAGAAATGGGGTTACCGGGTCCAAGGGTATTCGTATCTCTCTGGCTTCCACTTTCCCTAAAGAGGAATCCAGAATTTAGTCTACTGTGTGCCCCTGCAGCGAGGGGATGCTTGTCTGTCTGAGTGATTCTTGTTTTCTTTCCAGCTCTGCCCGGTACCAGGTCCCTGCATTGCCTGGTTTCCTAGGCAGCTCAGCTCCGCCCTCTCCCGCAAGCTATGCCTGCTCCAGGGTGTCCTCCACCCACTACAGCATTTCCCTGGGTCCCTGCTTCAATCAGGTCCACCTTCTCAGTCCCCAGATACTTTTTTTTTTATTAAGGTATTATTGATGTACACTCTTATGAATGTTTCACATGAAAAACAATGTGGTTCACCCATATTATCAAGTCTCCATCCCCACACCCCAGTGCAGTCACTGCCCATCACTGTAGTAAGATGCCACAGAGTCACTACTTGCCTTCTCTGTGCTACACTGTCTTCCCCGTGACCTCCCACACCAAGCATACTAAACATAATACCCCTCAATCCCCTTCTCCCTCCCTCCCACCTGCCCTCCCACACCCCTCCCCTTTGGTAACCGCTAGTTCCTTCTTGGGGTCTGTGTGTCTGCTGCTGTTTGGTTTCTTCAGTTTTGCTTCATTGTTATACTCCACAAATGAGGGAAATCATTTGGCACTTGTCTTTCTCAGCTGGCTTATTTCACTGAACATAATATCCTCCAGCTCCATCCATGTTGTTGCAAATGGTAGGATTTGTTTCTTTCTTATTCAGTCCCCAGATTGTTAACCAGCCCAGGTGCTGAGTGTTGGGGTTCAGAGTATGTTCTTTGTTGGAAGACATCACTGAGAGCATCTATGTGATGACTGGGCCTGGGCAATGGTTGACTTCTTACCTTCTCCCCTATCCTTGGTATTTTTCCCTATCCTGCTCATTTTTCTTTCTGTGAGAACCATTTCAAGGATACAACCTTGAAAGAGTAATGTGGTGTTGAGACCATCTGAGTGGCATACATGACTGAACCCTGTAAGGACTCCAAATAAACTCTGAAGATTTTGATGGGCAGGTGTGATCTACTCATCTTACAGCCACCCAACACAAGCCTCATAAGGTCCCTTGCTTATTAAGCCTGCCACCTACTAATCTGGAGTGGCCTGCCTTTATCTGATCTCTTTATCTGCACTCCAGTGATGGAAGAAATGGGTCTTGAGAAAGAGGAATCTGCAGGGGAAATCCTGAGTGCCATCAACCTCTATGTGGGGAGGGGTGGCCCTTATATCAGATGCTTTTGGATGCCATGTGAGCACAGGCTGCTTTAATACTCTTGTTTAAGGAACTGCATAGAGCACACTGCAGCAGAGAAAAGTGCATGGCTGTGCAGTGGGCGGGCCTCGGGGGGCAGCTCGGCTGGCCATAGTTGTTCAACTCGAGGCTGAAGCTCAAACCAGAAAGTTGAAAGAAGAGCTGAGATTAGAGAAGGATGGGAGGGTGCCCGCTGCTGGCTCTGGGACTGGCAGACAAAGTGGGAGAGCATGGCATTCTGCAAACCTAGGAGGGGGCAAGCTGGGGCAGCTCTCAGTGCTTGTGATGAAGCCTGATGGGGACACTAAGAGGTGGAACCCCTGGGCAAGTGGGGAGAGCAAAGAGGAGGGTGCTGTGGTGACTGACAGTGACACAGATACAACATCCCATGCAGTCCAATCCCTAATACAGAGGAAAGTAAAAGCATGGCGACAGCAGCCCCAGCCAGTGGGGCAGCCCCCAGTTCAGGAAGAGTTCATAATGAGACAATATGGGATGGCTGAGCTCATGGATATGGCAGCAAAGATCCATAAAGGTCCAGCAAAAATATCCAGGCATGGTCATTGCAACCATGGGGCGGGTCGCAGATGATGGCATTTTGTTTTGATCAGGCAGGAGACAGAGTAAGTGAGCAATGTCACCCCACCCTTTGGGAGCACCCACATTGTGCCCAAGGAGGTCAAGGGACTCATTCCCTTATAGCTGGATCATTCTAGACTCCAAGGAGGCTCAGCCCCAGAGCGAGACCTCCCTGGGTGTGTGGACCCTGGAACTCTATAGAGGAGGTACAAGTTCTTAGGAAATGACTGGAGGCCCTCTTTGGGTCACACTCCCTGCAAAAGCCAAGATACTCCAGTCTGCCCCAGCACCTGGTGTGAGACGCTGGTGTCCTGCAGAGTCTGAGCCGGGACAAGCCATTTAGGGTGCTGGGCAATTCATTGCTGATCTGGGGGAAATTGACAAACTCCAGGTACAGATACTGGCTGTGGAAAAGGTCTGAGACAAAGAGGGAGCTCGAAATAGCCTTTTAGCTGTAAAGCATCCTTCAAAAGTAACCTGGAAGCA